AGAGGGCTGGATCTGGAGCAGGGATTGATGCCGGAGCCGTGGAGACCACAGGTGGGATCCCAGGACCTGCAGAGCCCTGAGATAAACCTGCCCTGGTGAGGTGAGCATGCCAAACCCACCAAAGACTCCCCGTCTCTGCGGCTGAGTTTTATTAAAATGTAAAAGTAGAGTTTATTTTGCTCAAGTTCGTTTAATTGCGGAAAACTCAAGTATGAAGTTGAGTCAGATTGAGTGGGAAGAGGCTTCCAGCAATTGCAAGGCTGAACCAAATGTGGAAACAGAAATCCGTGTAAGAATTGTAAAGCAAAATAGAAGCAAGGTGTTTGGTGAATCCACAGGGTATTTTCATTGAGACAGTGTTTCCAGTTTGGTTTTTAACTGGAATATCGGAGTGTGGGGGGCAGCTGTGTTGTTGGCAATGTCGGACTGTAACAGTGTTAATGTATTTTCCTCATGTTCAGCTTCATCAGATCCCCGCAGTACAAAGCACTGCCGGAGACAGATATTCCTTTTCTCCTAACACCTCCACTGCCTTCCCACGAGGAAGATTAGCTTAATTATAGATGAGGCATGTGTAGTGCAAATCACAGCGGCAGTGCACGTGCCGGAAGAGGCAGCAATCACAGACCCCCACTCCCCCTTGCCTGGAAAACTTTTTTTTTCCTTTATTTTTTTTTCAAATCAAGTCTCTTTTGTGAAAGCAAAGCTGCTTTCAGCTCAGTCCTGCGTGGCACACGTTGCAGAGGTAGGTTTCGAAGTCAGGCGAGCGTTCTTGACCTCCCACCGTTGGCGCGTACAAAGGACGAATGCTCTGCAGCCGAAGCCGTGCTGCAATCCTGTTTGAGCCCGACCGGGTCCCGGTGCAGAACTCGTTGGGATCTGTTTCGTTCGGTCCTTCAGCGGCGAATATCGACAGGCACAAAGCAACGAAACAGCCGTAAGATGCTACTGAGTGGAAGCATCAGGGCTGGGCACTGAGGTGCTTTAGGCAGTGTAAGTTAAATTAGTGACTGCGTGAGTTGAACTTAGAGAAACGTTGCCATTTGTAAAAAGTAAAATATTAAATACCAGCTGTAATACTGACCTTTGGATACTTGTCTTTCCATAAACAGAGTCAAATGGACATCTGTGATCAATCTTCTTGATTGCAGAACAGCTGAAAATTATCTCTGGTTCTTGGGGAAAAAACCTAAAAATCTTTGAGTCCTTCAAGGATTTTATAGAACCTCCCCAAACACCTTGCTGAACCCACCGTGGCCCGAAGACGTTCTGAGAGCTGCAGGGCGGGCAGAGCCTCCTGTCCCTCACGTCTGTGCCGTACGGCCCCTGCGTTCCCCGGTGCCGGAGCTCGGCTTTTTCCCGGGTTTAACCTGGAGCTGATTTCTCTTCGCTTCTCTGCCATCCCTGGTTCTCTGTGTGGCTGATGGCCGAGGGGTTAATTCAAATGCTTCTGCTTACTGAAGTTTAAAATTTGGTGCTTTCATGATGCCTGCCCAAGTGCCACTTCATTTCTGGGCACTGCTCAGGGTTGGTTTTTGAGGAGCTTTTGCTGGTCCGGAGCTGATGGAGCATCCGTCGCCCCCAGGCACCGTCACCAGGCTGAAGGGCTTCCCGGGAGCACCTGCCTTCATTGGAGCCCGCAGCGATCATCTGTGGAGGATCCTGTATTTTATTGAATTATCTAGAATCGCATCATGCCCTACTGTTACATAATGGTACATAAACATAATTTGTAAAGATGGAACCACCAAAGATGTGGAAATATGGACGAGAGCGGTTATCCAAAACAAGTTAATTTTTTCTTAATAGCAAGGAATAGTTTTACTGTTGTTGCGCACTGAATTTCTTGATATCACCTTGTGCTTTAGGGCGTGCTTTCCTAGCAGAATATGCTGATACCCTCGGAGCTTCAGCTCTGTGCTAAGCTCAGAATAATATCCCGTAAATAATGGAAAGCAGAAGGCGATGGAAACGCAGCGTGGATTTCTGATGGAAATCCGAGAGTGCCTTTCAGACGGTTTCGGCTGGGTGCTGGCGGCTGCTGATGCTCTGACTGCCGCTGTTTCCTCGGACCATAGCTCTCGGCTAAAACTCGACTGAATTAAGCTACAGACAATATTTGACGTGCTGTTTGGTTGTCTTGCTTAATGGCTGAAGCTGGCCGAAGCCCTGAAGGCAGCCCTGCGTGTTCCTCTCTGCGACGCACGGTGCGGTGTCGCTGATGGAGAGCGTCGCAGGCTGCTGGGTCGGTGTGACTGGAAGTCGTTGCACGCCTGCAAAAGCCGGCTTGGCCGGAGGGTGCGCAGTGGAAATGGTGTTTTCCTGTCACTCTTCCTTCGTGCAGGAGGTTAAGAAGTGGAACAGATGAAGTCTTCCTTTCTTCGGCGCTAGAGCTGTGTCTGGCGTGGCTTCTCGATGCGGTGGGTTTCGTCCCCAGGAGCCCTGGGGAAGGCGCAGCGCTGCGCTTGGTCGCCTGCTGAAGCCCCCCGAGGGCTGATCTCGATGATCATAACTGCCCTTATTTCCCGGTTATTTCTCTCGGGACAGAGTGCTGGGAAACACCAGCAGGATGCTTTGGGAAAAAATGGTTTGTAAAAATGTGAGGTTTTCCTTTCTTTAAATTTTTGGAGTATGGAGAAAGCAAGGAGTTCAGTGATCCTGCCTTTCCGGATCGGTAAATTACCTGAAAAGAAAAAAAGTAATTTTCCAAGCATTTCAATTTGCTCAATTAATTATTTAATGCTTGTAAAGATCCATGGCGTAGCCGCTGCACATGTCTTCACGTACTGTGGTACCGCGATTCCGGCAAGTGGGTGTTGATAACAAGGAAATCACGGCAGCTGGAGAAGGGGCTGGGATTTCTGCTTTGCAGCCTGACAAAACCTGTGCTTTGATCGTCTGCTCTCTGAACAATTCCAGGTGTTGTCAAGGTGGATTACGGCGACGTGTCCGTCAGAAAAGCACTGAGAGAGAGTCTGAGGTGCAAACCCTTCTCGTGGTACTTGGAGACCATCTATCCCGACTCGCAGATCCCGCGGCGCTACTACTCGCTCGGCGAGGTACGGACCGTTTCCTCTGGCTACGTTCAAGCAGCCGGCGCGTCGTGCGGAGGGAGGAATCGCCGGGAGGATGAAGTGGGTTTGGAGAAAGGAGTGAAGCCCTTGCGTGCAGTCCCTGTATCGTATTTATCTTTCCTTTTGAGCAGGTTCTGTTTTCTGTAAATCCTTCAGAAGGGGACATTGCTATTCTGAATGCGTATGTTCACCATTAAAAATTAATCTTTCAAATTGAGGAGCGTATTGGGAAAGTGAGGTTTGTGACTAATACTTTGAAATAGTGAAGTAATATGCAGCAGCCGAAGGGAACTTTCCATCATCGCTTGCCACTTACACGTAGAGCAGAAAAACATTTTGTTTTTTTCTTTTAAAGAAATGAGTTTCTTCCTCGATGCTGTGTTTTCCAGCAAGGCTGCCTGGAGCTGAGTATCACGGGCAATCCTGCTAATCCGAGGGCTCTAGTACCACCGAGAACTGAAATCTCTTTAAAATTCAGAGAATTCCCTCTTAAAAATATTCTATTGAGCTGTACCTACGCTGACTTTTAAAAGCTCCTGAACGGTTTAATTTAAAGATAGCTACAGATAGAATAGCAATCACATGAGCAAAGGGCTTTTTTACATCCAGGAAAGCAATCTACCATTGAAACTTGCCATTGTAGTGCAAAATAAAAGCCACAGTAGGGTTTCCAGTGGAACGGTGACAGAATGAAGTGAAACATCGTTTTACAGCAAGGAAAGAATTCATCTAACAAGTGTCAAATAATAAGGTTTTGTACAATATTGTCAGACTGGGGAAAAAAAAGTATGAGAAAGTGATAAAATAGTTATTAAAACACCTTATTTTCACCAAAACGGCCTCAGTTCCTATGGAAACGGCAGTTCCGGCAGGAGCTCTGAATTAAAACTCGTACTTGGCTGTTACAGCTGCCGGCTGCCAGTTGAGCAGGAAAGTGGATTTTTACACCTGAAGCTCAGGTACCGTTATCAGCGGTAACGCCAGCGTTTCAGACATCAGCAGGGCGTTTCTCAGCCGTTTTCCTCTCTTTGGGCAGAGATGCGGTCTCCGGTGGCCATACCCCCGGCGTGGTCGGTGCGGCCGCCCCGCCGTCGCTGGTCCTCGAGCGGCCCGAGATGTGTTGGGGTGGCTGCTCGGGAGGTGACCGTGCTTCTCCCCTGTTCCACGAGAAATCGGGGTGGGGAAATTGCAATTCTCGTTTTCGGTGAGAAGATGATGGTCAGCAGCTGGTCGGTGCGAGCCGGGGTCTGCTCCCTGCTGAGAACCGGCTTTGGTAACTGCTGAGAACTCTTGAAGTTCTCTTGCTGAGAACTTTTGGTAACTGCTGAGAACTCTTTTGGTAACCGGCTTTGGTAACCGGCTTTTGGTACACTGCCCTGGTGAGGCCTCATCTGGAGTACTGTGTCCAGTTCTGGGCTCCCCAGTTCAAGAAAGATGAAGAGCTACTGGAGAGAGTCCAGCG